ATGTTTGCCATTCCCGCATCTCCGGCAACGTACCGCCATCTTCCTCCACCGACTCCACACCTCATCGACCCATCCCTTCCTCTCTCTTCTTCCACACTTTTACTCATCTACTGCTACTTCCACTCTCTATTGTGAGCCAATGGAGTCATGTGACTGACCGCGTCTATATAAACCGCGCAGGTGCCGCGTTCTAGTCAGAAATACGCAAGCCATTCTTCTACGCAGCTTACAACTCTAAGCATCACTCGGCGGGCGATTTTTATTCTGTTTACGATTTGACATCGTCAAGCAACACTGTAACTTTGCAAGAACTTATATCTCATTATTGAGTTATAATTTCTGTTCTTAAATTCGTTTTATTATTGAAACGCCTTCAATCAATTTATTTTTAAAATATCGTCTCTAATATTTTTTTATTTGCAAAAGAAAAAAAAAACCGTAGTTAGCTTATCCTTCGGTTACACAAAACCGGAATCCATCTGTCACAACACTTTTTTTTAATATATATCTATCTAAGAAACCACACGAACGGTCACTTCTAGGTGTACCGGAAGGAGTTTATAAAAAGCAGTTCGAGCTAAATCGTCAAACTGAACACCCAACTTCCCAAACTCTGCATTGACAGTGAGAGTTTAAGGTCCAGCGTCGGCGAAGACGATCTTTTTATCATCAACATGACCCAAGACAAGCGTGTGGAAGAACGCCGTAGCGAAAGACGGGAGAGTGTTTGCTCGTCTTCCAGTAGCAATAACAGTAACAACAGTCTGTGCAAGGAGTACCTACTCTCCGCTCGCATGTCCCCGAACCGGGAGGCTGTCTCAGCACCGCACTCCCGTTCTTGCTCGTTCAGGAACAAACCGAGATGTAGGGATGTCGAAGTACTCGGAGCCAGACCCCGAACCAACAGCATGCCAAACCCCGATCCTATCTACCTGTCTGTCTCTTGTGAGAACATTGGCGAACGACCTACCGGGGCACTCTACCGTGTTCGGTCATTCACCAAGACATCCAAGGGACTGATAAACCGAGGGGATTCCTTTAAGAAGCGAAGCAACAACAGTATTATGTCCAGTGGAAGTACAGTGACTGATCAAAACGACCTGGGGTTGACGGAACGAGATCAGAGAACCCGTACGCTCAGCGTGGCCTCTTCCCAGGGTAGCAGTGTTTGCAGCCCTTACGCAACCCCTTCCTACTTCCGTCTGGTCATTCTTGGTAGCAGTGGTGTGGGCAAAACCTCTCTTTTGCGCCAGTTTATGACTTCTGAATACATGGGTGTTATCGAGAATTCTGGTGGTGAGTATCCCTCATTCTTTCTTTGTTTCTCTTTTTTCTTTTCTTTCTTTCTTTGTCTTGTCATGGACCGAGGTTTATCAGTTACGTCCAGAGCCTAATAATGATAAATGATACGTTTATTTTGAACAACAAATATTTAATTTCAAACATAATTTCCTTCCTTGTCAATGCACCTAATTTAGTGGTGGATAATGGAATAGTTCACATTCTATACAATTAATATATCCGATCAAAATTCAGCTAATAATGTGCTTGGCTACGGACTTTTTGATACACCCTTGTAGGCACACAGACACACCCACCCACATACATATATATATATGTGCGTGTTGTGTGTAAAGAATATCGGGAGATAAGAAAAACGTAAATTTCTATATGAAAATTCTATAGTATTAAATATAATTTGTGTATCTTGTTTTAAATTTTGCTTTTTTTTTTTTTAAAAAAAAATGATTGGTGAATATGATCCCCGCACAAAAATTATATTTCAGATTTAATTAACGGAATTGCTATTTATAGAGACTGAAATACTTCTCATTTGATGACGTCAATAGAACCCTAATTCATTTTCCCTTCCCTTTTAAAGAATTTACCAAAATAACCTGAATACCCAACTCTTTCGTTTTATATTTCTTTTTTTTGCTTTCAGAAAATCTAGATCGTATTTAAAAAAAAAAAAAAAAGTGAATAGTTTCTTCAATTGCGAACTTTAGTAACCCCTTTACCTCCCATTTTTTCCCTCTCACCCCTTTGCTTTATTTTATTTATTATTCCAATATTTTTTTTTTTATCTTTAATTTGATGCCTTCCCTGACACGGTCTTCCTTCTCCTTTTTATTTCAAATCATCGTCTGTGTTTGAGATTGTCGACCATGTTCTAAAAATAAACAAGTCGCTTCCGCGTCGCACTTCAGCTATTTTTAGAACATGGAGGACGGAACTCCATGATGACGTATGCAAGCCGCATTTGTGTCTTTATGCCTCATCGAATTCACGTCAGCTGCCGTGAGGGCTTTTCCCTCAAATACAACTAGCAATCATTAACGCTTCCTTTATCTCTCTCTCTCCCTTTCTCTCTCTCCCTTCTTCTTTCTTTCTTTTGTTTCTTTCTTTCTTTTGATTCTTTCAGTTTTTTATTCTTTTTCCTTTCTTTTTCTCTTTCTCGTTTTCTTCCTTTTTTTTTATCTTCCATTTGAATTTGTCCCACGTGTATTTATTCGTTTAATTAATTATTTCCAATTAATTTCCTTGTCTCAACTTTCTGGCTAAATCTAAATTTTAAAATAATACGATTCTATCATACCAAATAAAATCTCCATGACGACCAAATAAATTTTGCTAAATAACGGATCAAGGATTGTAGCAAAAATGTTCCTAAAATCAAAATACTATTCGTCCTGCACAAAACAGTTAATGAATTCTTGAAGACAACTTTCCATGACTAACCCCCAACCAAAAAAAAAAAAAAAAACAACAAAAAAACATCCAATAATATTCTACGCTTTCTACAAATACCAGATGACCAACTAAGAAACGATTACGTCATGAACTGACTAATATCATAAATTCAACAACAGTTTCTTTTCTTCTCAAAAGCATCACATTCGCAAGCATTTTTAATCTAATTTGCAAACTCGTTCTTCTAAAATATGAAATCGGACTCACTGTTTAGTTCATTTTGCTTCATCTTCATACATGTGTCGTGACCCTTCAGGGCGTCGTCGCTCATGATTCTCCACAACTTCCCATCCTTTGTATTTCTAAGCAATCTTTGTCCTTTTAATGTCCTTCTCGGTTCGTCTTCTGCCTCATAGGACACGCGGGGGTGCCCCTTTACTGTAGTTCCATGACAGAAAGAGATCGTTCCTCGCCATGTAGCAATGGTTAGCAAAATAGTTTCATATCCTTAGTGTGTTGATCTTCTCCGATTGACTTATATATGTAGCTTTGAATTATGAGAAGACGTTCTACCGAAGTGAGCGTGACCCTCAAGGGGGCTTACCGTGTATAGCCTTATACCAGACTAGGCTTAGATTTGTAAATAACTAGGGAGAATGTAGTAGTGCAGTGTATATTGAACTCGTCTCATAAACCAGTTAGTGTATCACACGAGGTCCTCTACTTTTATGGGCCTTGTGTCAGACTAAAGATTGGTCAGTAACGGTTTTGGATATTGATTTTATTTTTAATGGTTTCTCGTGTTTTCGTTTCGCTTTAGAGTTAAACTTTTTATAGGTTTGTTTATTTTCTACCTTTTTTTTTTAAATGTTGTAAATAAACAGTAAGAGAAGACAACAATGAACGCTCAATTCAAAACATTGAACATCTGATCATATCGTAAAAGTTGGCCATCGATTTCTTTTTCGCATGTATCAATGTACAGAAACTGTAGTTCGGCGACGTTTTCAACCTCGATACTCAACTATCGATCGATTGGCAATGCCGTTCGCCGTTTGTTCTTATTCTAATCACTTGCAGCAGCTGCCACTAACTTGCACACACGTAATGCTGCTACTGTTACGTCTTAATATCTCCCGTTCTAGGAGTCTGCTGAAAGAACATTATAGCAGTATTTACCATTAACAATCACACCATAGAGGATAGTCAAGCATTTAAGGCATTGGCACTGACATTAAGTTGTCATTTATTTTTTACGGTTCTTTAGGTATAAATATACATAAAATAGTATTTAACTATTGCGTTATCTTTTAACATATTTAAAATAATACTGTTTACAAATACAAGGTTCCTTCGTCTCGAAGAAAAGAACCTTGTAAGGTTCATTTGTTTCGAAGACAAGAGCATGATTTTGGTCTAACTTGGCGAAATTGGGTTAATGACCTTTATCCCGGTGTCGAAAGTGAATCATTTGTCCTTGAGTCCTACGCTTTACCACTGAGCTACGCCCATAATATAAATTATGGGATTTCGACCATAAATCACCTGTTTCAGGAACAGTTTACAACTGTTTCGCAATAGTAGTAGTATTAGTACTAGTAGTAGTAGAAGAAGAAAAAGAAGAAGAAATATTAAGCGTCTTAGTAATGGTAGGCTTAGTAACGAGGAATTTGTATTTTGAAAAGTAATTTTAGCAGGTGTGGTGTTTGATGTCGTCTTATAACAACTCTTGTTTTGTTTTTTTATGTATCTATATACAAAAAATCTTGTATATCATTGAAATATCACCTTCATATTCCTCCACAAATGCGATCACAAACAAGAGATCAAGAGGCTATTGGCATGAATAAAAATTCGCTTTTTCTCTTTCCCGTTTTTTTTTTTTTTTATCTAAGTCTTCCCGTTAAATACTCTAGATATTTATACCAAAAATGATTCTGTCAAACAACGTCTCTTGTACTTGTCAGGTTTGTTGCGTTCGGCAAGTCTATAGAATCGGTACTCGCCTCGATATTTGGTCTGACGAGATAAAAAAATATTAGTAAAAATCTTAAAAAAATATAATTTTAAAATTATTCAAATATAAGGCTGATGGTTCAATCCCCTGTTTAAGCTATTTTTTTTATATAATATATATATAAGCTTTTTTTTATATATATATATATACCAGCTCTCGGTTGGCTGGGTTCAATTGTGTCCAATTGAGAATCAATTTGATACCTTTATGCCAATGCCCGAAGGACAGCGGTCATTTATTGCCTCTAAAGAAAGAATAATAAAAACAAAAACAAAAAAAAAATATGAAAAAAGCAAACCACAATTTATTATCAAAAATTAAAATGAAGTATGATCAAATGGGCTATATTTGACAGTTTCCAGTCGATATTCTATGTTGGTCTTATATTTTAGGATTGTTTTACAATTCATCACGCTGCTTGTTGTAACAAGTAAAAACAACTAGTTTCGATTTTTTTTTTTTTCTTAACTGGTTTTGTTTCGTACTTTTGTTTTCCACGCCAATATATTTTTTATTTATTTTTTTGGAAGGACGAATTTCTAATTTCCCGTTCGCTTTTGAGAAACAAAATACCTGGTAAAACGAGACAAGAACAAGCAACAGTATCAAATGAAACGTACTAACACGCTAGCATTGTTGGGTCAAGATGACACATAGTCACAAGATGCCACCGCAGTCGTTTCAACATAATTAGAATACATTTCTGTGCAATTTCAGTCTACGCATGTCCAAAAGTAAATCATTATAATATTCGAAATTTATTTATCTAAATAATATTTACAAAATGATCTTCATTTTTGCTGACTGAATAAGAATAATCATATGGATAAAATTATATTTAATCATTCGGTTATAATATATATATATATATATATATCCATTACAGTTCAAAGATGTGAAGCCATCCCCAGAATTAGTATAGGATGAACTTAACAGAAAGGAGGGAAAAATGAAAATGGTCTCTTGAAGTCATTGAAAGAAAGAATGGAATCAATTATCAAAATATGAGAAAGTTTCGTAACGAATGGCAAAGATTTGTGCTGCAGTAATCAAGACTAAAGGAGGATATTTTGATGAAAGCAAAATTTAATTATAAAATGCTTTTTTCTTCTCGCCATAAGATGTCTAAATAAAAAAAATAATTCCTCATCTTTTTAACCATGTATAATAAGCTTCTCTTATTTAAAGTAAAAAAACAACTACTTTTGGCGCCAATTTAAAAAATAACCAGGGGTGATCTCCAACTTTTGAACTGTAGTATATATATATATATATATAGTGTAATCCGGATATAAGAGACCCGGATATAAGAGAGATTTTCTCTGGTCCCAAATTAGGGTCTGTGTTAATGTAAACAAAATATTCCAAACCCGGATATAAGAGACTTCCTCTCCGGTCCCGACAACTCTCTTATATCCGGGTTACACTATATATATATATATATATATATATATATATATAAACACATACACACACTCACGTATATATGAGAAATATATAAAACAATTTGGGGATAAAAATAATGACTGTTAAATTCGTTGATGATAACGTTGAAAAAGATGTCTGTGTTTTTATATGCATGTGTATATTAGTAATTTATAAAGAATTTTGTTACGGAAAATTAAAGTTTTTTTTGTTTTTTTATCTCTTGTTTTTCTTTAGAATCCGTGTGGGAGCGTACTGTGTCCGTTTTATTGGATGGTGAAGAATCCACCATGGAATTCACTGATGCCTTTGAAGAGGAAGAAAGCCTAGAAAACATGAATTTTGACGGTTACGTTGTTGTTTTCTCCCTTACCGACCGCAGCTCTTACAACAACGCCATCAGTACTGTTCACAAATTGCGCAATGAACTTTTCATCGACAGGGCAATCATCTTGGTAGCGAACAAGAGCGACCTTGTTAGGAAGCGAGAAGTCACAGCTGATGGTGAGTAGATTTATATTATTATTGTTGCTTCAGAACAGAAATCTTAAAAGGTATATATTAATTCGTTCCAATCGTTCGAACGAAAACTGGCCAAGACTAGCAAAGGTTATATCCATCCGGACATGCAAAATAGTAGGACATTCAGTGGAAATTTGGATTCACAAGCCGTCGTATGTATAGACTCTTTAAGGATGGTAGGGTCAGGTTTGAATTTAGAGTCCTTATAAAAAAGGTATATATTAATATATACATATATATATATATATATATATATATATATATATATATATATATATAGAAAGTGGGTAAAAAGCAAGAGAAACATTACTTACCATTAAGTAGTAAGTCGAAAAATTATTAGGAAAAAATAGAAGCAAATTGGTATTGTTTATAGCTCTTCAGAGCTGAATCGAGAACGAAATATATAAAATTTTGCACAAACAGATATATATATATATATAAATATGCAATGTTATTTATATATTATATATGCAAGCGGTACTTGTTGCATAGCGCTCAATACCAGTGATAGATATATATATATTATATATATATATATATATATATATATATATATATATATATATAACATTTTTCGATTTATCACTTTACGGTAATCATTCTTTTGTTTTTCTATCCTTTGTTTTAACACGTTTTTTACATATATGTTAATATATACTATTTAAAAGTGTCCAATTGAAGAATGTAATAGAATTTTCTACCTCCCCCCATAAACTACTACTGCTACTATAAAGATCGTGGAGTATAAAAATGACCTGAGGGATAATAAAATAAGAAAGGAAAAGAAAATGAAAGAAAAAATTAAAAATTTAACAGCAACACTTCATAAAAAAATTAACCCAATTATATTCATATTATCAACTATATAATAGCTAAAGATCCTTTGCGCTGATAGTCAACGAGTTCGATCCCTGTTTGAAGCTGTTGTCTTTTAATATTATTAACTGCATTTTCGCTTTTATAAAGACTATTCATACTAAAAAATTAAATTATTAAAATATAAGTGTTTACAATAACTTTTCTTTTTCCTGTCCGTTCTCCCAAAGGTTGGCTGGGCTCAGTTGTGTTTCGTCTTCAAGGGAGTCACAGCATAAATTAAACAACGATTATTCTGATGCCCTGTATCACTGAACGCAGGGTCGGGGTAGTTTTTGTCTCAACCTACACGTTCTCAACTAAACCGACTTTCTGATTCATTTTTGCCCTGGTGAGGCAGGGAACAAATACTTGGTTTAATGTAGCTTTTCGTGAGTCATTTAGTGTAATCATTGAGCCTAGGAGTATAATTACACGCAAACAACGGCTACTTTTACTGAATCATTCTAAACAGACTCGACGAAAATAAGACTGAACCCAAGAACTTGTATCTTTTTCACCGGAAGAAGTGTTATCTGTCGAGTTTGTATTTTTGGATGTAAAGCATAAGAGAAGTTTAAAAATGGCGGATTTCTTGCTAATAATGTTGAACTTTAAACCCCACCGGAAACGATGACGATAACGAAATTTTAAAAATAAACTCTAACATGTTCGCGCATTTGATACAAAATTTATTTTGGTATTTAAATGATTAATATCTGTCAACATTTTTTTTTTATTTTTTTCTCTTTTCTTTCTTTCTTTTTCTTTATCTTTTTCTTTCTTTCTCTTCTTTCTTTGAGTTACTCTTTTCTTGCTTTATTTTTTTCTTAATTTTTTTCTTTTTTTGCTTTCCTTTTTTCTTAATTTGCTTTCCTTTTTTCTTAATTTCCTTCTTTCATCCTTTCTTTCTTTCTTTTACTTGATTCTCCTTCTTTTGTGCCTTCTTTCTTTTTTCTCGATTTCTTTCTTTTTCTTACTATTACCTTTTCACCATTTTTTGATTTCTTTCTTTCTTGTAGCATTTTTTTTTTTTTTTAAACCTCAAACAAAAGTAAAAAAAAAAACAAACAAACAATAAAAACAAGAAAAAAAATAAAAATAAAACGATGTGAAAAAAATTCCAAACTAAAAAGAAAAAATATAAACCAAACAAAAAAAAAAACAAATAAAAGATTAAAAGAAAACACGAGAGAAAAAAAAAACAAAAGAAAGAATAAAATAAAATTCAAGCAAAAAAAAAAAAAAAAATACATAAATTATTTTCTAGTCAATTAAAAAGAAAAAAAATACTTTACCAGAGTTGGAACAATAAATTTTAACAATGATAAAAGCTTATGGACTTCCACATCTCCTTCCAGATATATTTAGAAAAAAGGCGCGTATTCTTAGATACTAAGAAATTCAGTTTTCGACTCGTGTAGTATTTACCACGTTAAGTGGAATGCGTTTTTTGTTTTGTTTTGTTTTGTTTCTTGAGACTCCATTTGCAAATCGACACCGAATGAGCGTATTCACGTGACATCAAATTAGACTGGTTTAGAATAGCGGGAAATTCTGCTGCATTTATTTAACTTAGGTTACGAAGAAAAACGAGTGGGGAGCCTAAAAATAAACCAATCGCCTTCCCCTCATTCCATTCTCGCTGCTACGCTTAAACTTAAAAAGGGAACAAACCGAGATATCGTAGTATTTATAATCTTTTTTTTTTTTCCCCCAAGGTTATAAGACGAAACCCTTGATGCTCTTCACCAAAACGAGAATAGCCCTAAAATAAGTTCCAGTCACGAGTAAAGCATTTCCTGCACGTAGTTATTTACGGGAAAGCATGAAACGAGCATTTTTTTTTTTTTTTTATCTGTTCCTTCTTTTAGTTGTACTGATGAAACGAGGCAATAATGAACACGATTTTGGACAGAGAAAGAGATGGACAGCATAACACACACACACACACACACACACACACACACACACACACACATATATATATATATATATATATATAACCAAATTAAGATATGAAGATAGATAGATAGATAACCAAATGAAGATATGAAGATAGATAGATAACCAAATTTAGATAGACAGATAACCAAATTAAGATAGATAGATAGATAACCAAATTAAGATAGATAGATAGATAGATAGATAACCAAATTTATATAGATAGATAGATAGATAACCAAATTTATATAGATAGATAGATAGATAGATAACCAAATTTATATAGATAGATAGATAAATTAAGATATCACTCGACTTAGATTACCAAATGGTAGATATGAATTGACTGAGATAGATAGACAGACAGAAAGAAATTAAGTGATGAGTCAGTTTCTTCGCGTTACCCAAGTAGGGCCACGTTAGGAAAGACCTAAGAAAAGCCACCCCCACCACCTCGTCATCTATTAAAAAGTCATATCAGAATATAAACAGAAACATATCTTTTTACTCTGCTTCTCTTTCCGCTTATCTCATCTTCCCGCCAAAAAGGCGAGGAAAAACTAAAGCACACAGCCTGCTAGAAAAAAAAAAAAAAAAAAACTTCCCTCGTGCCGGCATCTTATTTTTCAACTTTTTGTTCACAGAAACCAAAAGGAAGAAATAAATCTCGCGTGTAGCATCACCTAAAGATACACTTCGCCATAACGACTTTATCGCTGGAATGAAACCTCGACCAATTTAATGTTACCCCAATTTCAACGGAAAATAACTGAAATTTCTAACTCTCGTTAGGGTTACATTTTAAGCATGAAATAAATCTCAGAATTTGAGAATTTGCAAAGCATAACCAGGAGCTGCTAGAATTATTTATGTTAGTAAAAAAAAAAAAAGAAAATACAGTATTTAACACGACGCCATTTTGTTTTCTGTACCTTATAGTAATGTGTTATTCTTTTAATTTTTTTTTTTTTAAAGTTTGATAAAATTATTAATATTTGGACGTTTTCTCTTCTTTTCTTTTTGCAGAAGCTCGTGCCATTGCTATGCAGTACGACTGCAAATATATCGAGACTTCCGCCGCCCTGAATCATCAAGTGGATGATTTACTTGTTGGCAGCCTAAGCCAGATTAGGCTCAAACTGAACATTCACGTGCAGGAGACTGCCCACAACCACATGAACAAGAAGAACAAGGACAAGCGAAACAAAAACCGTCGTTCATTGATCAGCAAAATCTTCAAAAAGAACTCGCGAAAAGCCAAATCTTGCGATAACCTGTTTGTTCTCTAAGCGAGAGGTTGCAATGAACCTGCCGCTTCTTCTTCATCCATGTTTCCCTTGGATACAGCAAGAACGAAAAAGAAAGAAGGAAAAAAGAAAACAAGAAAAAGAAACCCCCATCCATTCATTGTGAACATAATGAATATAAGGTGACACGAACGCCGTATATCGGAATAAAATGTATGGCTGAGAACAATGGCGGGTCCTGGACGAAATCAGTGAGATCAAAAAAGCTGAACGAGAGAGATCTCGAGACGGTTACGGCGAGAAAACACACCTATGACATTACCAGAAATGTCTTCTGAAGAACCAATTTACCAAAATGTCTGTATTTCTTTTTACAAGAATACCGAAAAATAAGAGAAAAAAAAAAAAAGAATGACAATGATCTTTTGTTAGTCTCTTGTAGACATCCGAAGCTGTTTTGCATTGTAGTAAATATTTTAAACGAACAGAAAATAAACAGTTATATAAGAAACTCGATTGAAATCTAAAAAAAAAAAAGAAAAAAAAGCCGGACTCGACTCACAGAATGTATGAAGACAATGAAGAGAAAGAAGGCCTAGAAAACTAAACATGGACATTTGTCACTCTCTGAGGCTTAATATAAAAAGAGTCATAAATTAACAAAAATTCTTGACATTGTATTTTCCTGTTGATATCGCAAGTACTGAATTGTTTACTAAAAAAAATAACTATTTTGTAATCTTTCATATTTTATTGATAAGAAAGAAAATTTGTAAAACGAACGGGAAGCAATGAATATGAAATATGTCCTACTTTGTCTTTTTTCTTTATCACTCTCTATTTCTCTCTCTCTCTCTCACTCACTCACTCTTCGGATTTCTCGTTAACGCGAGAAATACTGAACGAGATATCGACATAGACTGAGAGTAAGAAGTATTAGAACGATGCTATCTCACTGAACATTTTTCTCTCATTCTAAATTTGGTAATCTGGAAAACTAAAAACACTGAAGACACTTAAATAATCTTTGAACATTTTTTCTTCATGCAAGCAAAAAAAACATGAAATCATGATAATAAGAAAAAAACAAAAAAAGACCATTTTATCCCGGTTTTGTCTTGGCTCATTTATAAAAATATTGATTTTAAAAAAACTAAAATCAATATTTAATCGCAAATTAGCAAAAACAATTAAAATGTAATGATTTTGCTAATTATTGCCTTTCAAGATTTTCAATGAACCGTATGATTTGATACGCGCATGCGTATGCATAAAGAATTGCCCCTACTCACATAAAAGTTGTTGTGTAAATTTTTAAACACACACACACACACACACACACACACACACATATATATATATATATAGTTACAAAAAGTTTTGTCTTTATAGCTATATATGAGATTGAAATGCCTTGGTGATGCTTTTATCATTAATATTTTTCAATTAACATATACTCTACCTCGAGTGTCTCTTGGGATTTGGTGTAAATCATTGTAAACAAAAATTATATTGTTGTACTAAATCAAGAAATGAAAAACAACTGTAAGATTATGAGAATTAAATATAAACCACATTTTCCTCGTGGGAGTATACATCTAGGTATTCCATGCTCTTAAAATCGGAATGTAAATGAAGAATTCACCATATTCTTCACTTTCCACACATTTTCGATCGTCAGTTACATGGTGATATATATATATATATATATATATATATATATATATATATATATATATATATATAACGATCGTATTATTTTACTAACACGAACCTTAGGCATAAACAAATATATATTTTTTTATTACAAAATCATGCGTATATTCATTATCATTCGAAGAACAATTATGTAGAAATTAAATATCCTTTTTATTAAAAATTGCTTTTGTTCCAAAATGGAATAAGCTTCTTTTAAAATATTGCACTCATAAACTCTTTAGTCCATATGGCTCTGTATGATAAGAGTACGTCGATTACGACACTGAGATGCCCCCGACATATATAATGAACAATGAGCTAACAAATTACAAGTCTTATATACTTCGAATAATATGATAATTACTATACGCTACAAAATGCAACTTAACATATTTTTGAAAAATGGCATTCATTTTTTTTCATGGCATAAAATCATATTTATTTCCTGGGGGAAAAATCCCAAAATGTCAGTCAAGCATTAAGCAAAAGAGATATTCTGGTTTCGAAATTTTTTTTTTATTAAAGATTTGGCTGAACGTTGGTTCTACGTTTGACGGCAAACCAAACATTCATACGAATTTTTTTTTTTTTTTTCCTTAAATGGGGAAAACAATTCTTTTTTATAAAAATTCACTTTGGGACTGAAAAAGAATAATTATTTTATGAGCTAACCAAAAATTATTAAAAGATTGAAACGAAATGTATCTATGGGATACGTTACTTCCTTTGCGAAAAGATGATTATGAATATAAAAATCTGAACAAACGCTTCATTTACGTCTTTATCAATATGTTTATTTTAAAGCTTCTTTGGATTTAATGTTTGCACGGGTCCCAGTTTAAAGTTCCCCATTTAAGAATTTCCTTCGCTGCAAGATAATCGGTTTTGGTTGAATGATAAACTAATCCGCTGAAAATTCCGAAGATTCACATAATGACATTCTCTCCGAAGATTCATATAATGACTTTCTCTTAAGAAGACAAATATCAGAAACTTTTATTTTGCTGAAATTTGTCCTTTCCGTTTTTCCAAAACCTCCAAGAAAGAGGGTCCATATTCGATGATCAGCACATATTTGCTGATCACTCGAATCTGGACCCTCATCTAAATTATATATTTCTTTGGGCCAGAATATGATGCGATAAAGTAAATTGACTCTTGGTGAAATAAATATATTATGTCAAAATCTCAAAAAAAAAAAAAAAAAAAAAAAAACAGGCTAACTTTTCAAAGTTGAAATCTTCATGTGAGAGTTTTATAAAATTGAAATTTAGAAAGCCATACTATTGAGTCTTGGGTGATGAAAATAGCTTCACAAGAAGATGAAGGTTTGATAGAGATGTTAATAGTTAAGTGCCAAATGTCATTAACATTATTTTTTTCTTTGAGAAGTGAGGACTCTTCTTCCATCTTAAACGCATTCCCCCTTCCCTATTCTTTCGGCTAATAATCTATCAAAAAATCTTTTTTTTTTTTTTCGAACTCAAAATCATCTCAAATATTTCTTCTTGGCAGGTAATGCTTACTTGTCGAGGCAGAAGGTGCTCTATTTCTTTTAGTATTTAAACAATAAAAATTTTTTTTTTTTTTTTTTAAACATCTTTAACGTCCTCAATTGCCAATCAAAAGAATTTAGCCTTATGCATGTTGCCTTGATACTACAACCCCCCCCAAAAAAAACAATAAAAACTAAATCGACATGAAAACTTTCAAAACAAAGACAGTATAGTGCTCAAAACATATCTAATTAAAACATAACGTTCAAAAAATAATTTTGAAACTTTAACATTTCTTATAAATGAAATCCACTATGTTTAATAAAAAAAATCTTATTTTAAAACAGACGTAAATAAAAAATTCACTTAAAAAAATACTGACAGTTGCCTTATTTTATTTACTTACATGAAACAAAATACCTTTTCCGAGTCAGACTGAATATGATTATGATCAGTGACCTCCACAAACCATTGCGGCCGAATAATTTAATTATGTAACTGTAATTCTATAGATTTCCTTTGTTGATTTGTTATGCCTTCTTTTGTCCTCTTTATTTAGTCAATAAAGGATAATTTGTTCTATTGATTCTAACTGACCTTTAGTCAGTTAATTTGAAGTGTTTCAGAGAATTTGTTTTAATAATAATAGCAATAACAAATGACACCATAAACTATATAAATGTCTGATGCTTCATTTTAATTTCTGCTATTAACACGCTATTTTTTTCCTCTTTTTTTTTTAATCAGTTGAAAATATCAACGCTAAAACTGATATTTTTAAAATATACAATTTGGAAAACAAAAAAAAAAGGCTTGTTTATTATTATTATTACGTAAGAAGGCTGTGACTTTAATATTAGATTTCCTGCCAAAATTCTTTCCTTTTTCTTATTTCTTTCACACGTTGAATTAGCAGCAAAACTGATTACATTGAGAAATAGCAGATGTCTTCATTTAAAAGAGAAGAACGTGTTGAATTTTAGAGAGGAATACTTTTTCCGGAGCCGTTTCCCCCTATTTCCATAAACAAAAAAAAATATTCTATTTTAATAATACTTACTATAATTTACATACAAACACACAGTGTAACGTCATTTCTATAATTAACTTCTTATGTCCACTGGAAACTACTGGTATTTTTACTCTTTTTTATATATGTCCTTTCGTGATTTTAAAATTTTGTCCTTCACAGCAAAACACATTCTCATTTATTTTTTAGACTTAATTGACCGGCGTTTAAAAAGATGAGTTTTAATGATAATTATGATGAAAAAAATATAATTTATTTGAACTTAAATATTGTTTCATTCTTAGAAAGAAAAAAAAATGAAAATTCCAAGATTTGCAATAATAAATATCATTTCAGGGATGTTCCTCTTGGAATATTATTTGTTATTTCTTTACTATAAATTCTAGAAACAAATCATATCATATCATTTTATTTTTCTTCCTCACCCAATGGACTAAATTCCTCCTCTTTCTCAGAAATCACCACACACCACTTCCGCTCTCTCATCAATCACTTCCGGTTCCGTATTTTTTTCCTTTTTTTTTTTTTTTTTTTTTTCCAAACGGCTGTAAAATTGTATCTGCATTATGAAAGAAAAATAGTAAACAAGTCTTGCTATTGCTTTTAACAATCAATACGTTAACACAACCTGACCTAAAACAAAACAGATGTATACAATTGTTTTTGTACATAAAATAATA